CCCCGCCGCCGCCGAGGAGCCCGCGCCGAGCGGCCCGGGGCGCACTCACCTGGGAGCTGGCTCGGCGGCGCGCGGGCGACAAGCGCTCTCGGAAGTGGCGGCTGGGTGCGCCCGGCCTGCGCGCCGTTTTGTTCCGCTCCGGGGAAGGCGTGTCCCGCGCCACGCCAACCAGTGGGCTTTGCACACTGCACCACGGCCGGCTGATGTCATGGCGCGAGGACCAGGGCAGCCCGGCCGGAGGGGCGGGGGCAGGAAAGGTCTTGCAAGAGCGGGGACCTCTCGGGCTTTCCTGTCACCAGGTAAGGAAGGCAGAGAGGTGACTTGACATATCAGATCCATGATAATTTTGTGCCTCTAGGGAAAGGAGGACGGTGCTCAAATTTGTGTGTTCTGGTGGCAGGGTGTAAGGGACGCATCTTGGGCGCCGGAGTAAGACGGGCCTTTCCAGGGCAGGTCTAATCCTGCCACATCCATTTACTAGCTGGGCCGTTGGCCTAGGCACTTAGCCCCTCTGGTTCATCTGTGAAAGGGGTACAATCCACAGGGACGTTGGGGATAAAGTGAGATCCCACAGGACCAGTAAACCAGCAGCGCCCAGCATCTGACAGACCCTCAGTAAATGTTAACTACCTCCTCCAACAGCTCTCCTTCCCTCCACTGTCCCCAATCTTCCCCCTACCCAGAGGACAAGGCACCACTCCACCCCGCAAAGGCAGCAGTTCTGAAAAGTGAGTGCCTCAACTGAGACTTTTCTCTGGGCCTCCAACCTCCAGAATGACAGACACAGGCTCAGGCCACTCAAAGCTGCCCCTGTGGCAGTTACCAATGGGTATGCCGCCACCGCCCTCTCAGCCAGTTTCCAGCCCTTCCTGACTGATCACTCCCGGCAGAACTGGGCCAGGGTAGACGCCCCCTCCCAACCCCCCCCCAACCCCAATCCCTTCCTGGATGGAAACAGCCCAGAAACCCAATGTTCTAGACAGAGAAGGAGCTCCCCAGGGGCCTCTGGCAGGAAGGGACCCAGTGGGGAGCCAAGCCAGGCTTTAAAGGAGGGCATCACCTTCTCCCCTGGAGTCCTGCCGGCTCCAAGCAAGGAGCACTGCTCTTTGTTTGGGACTTGTGAATTCAGATTTGGAGAAACATGAAGAATCTGCAAGAGAGACTGCTGTTCCCAGGCACAGGAGGAGCAAGGAAGGAGGGAGAACCTCAGGTAACAAAACATTATTTTCTAGTTTGTAGTTTTTGTAACTTCCACACTATATTTCCAAGACCAAAGGGAATCAAGGGCTGGTGTAGTGTCTTATTCTCTAGGGTTGAATTACATTATTTTCACGGAGTGCAGAGTGTGGTGAGAAGTAAACCACACGGCCGGCCCGTGGCTCACTCGGGAGAGTGCGGTGCTGATAACACCAAGGCCACGGGTTCAGATCCCTATATAGGGATGGCCGGTCAGCTCACTTGGGAAAGCGTGGTGCTGACAACACCAAGTCAAGGTGTCATCTTTAAAAAAAAAAAAAAAAGTAAACCACACTCAGATCTTGGGTATATATTTCAGTGTGATTGTGTGTTGTGTGTGTAACTTTCTACTGCTTTCTTCAGATCTAGAGTGTTCTCTAAGAAGGAAGTACAGCAGCCCCCTTCCGCCCACAGAAGTTAACTGGGGGCAGACCCTGGCAAGTTTGCTGGCAGCTGGTCACCTCTCACCCAAGTCACCCATAGATGCAGCTGCCACATCTTCCACCCTGGGCAGGTGTCAAGGTCTCAGCCCCTACAAGCTTTGTTTAAAGCCCCAGTTTGCTGAATTAACTCTCTTCCAGGAATAAAGCTAGGTATCTTATGATCCATATAAAAATAAAAATAAAAAAATCTCTCCCTTTGCCAGGCCCATCATATAAACAAGGCCGCCCAAGATTGGGATGTCTTTAAGCACCCAACCAGTGTTTACGCAGATCAGGCCATCCTCATCTGACCCAACCAAAATACAGGAGGAGAAACCAGAAGAATTCCTGGTCATTCCCACACCGAGTAAGCAATAGATAAACAAGTTCATTAAATTGCAGAACTGCAATCAGTGTCAGAGACCAAGGGCTTGCTTCCCAAAGAGAGCAATCCCAAGGGATTTTCCCCTTTCCCTTTGGTTCTCAGTGTCCTGGGGAGATGGGCCTTGGAGTTCTGTCCAAGATTTTACAATAGGGCAAACTCCTGCATTTCCTTCTTTGGTCTGGTTTTGTCCTCTCTGGATGTGTGGGACTGTTGATGAATTTCCCTGTAAGGAGATGCCAACCTGTGCTGTGAAATGTCTGTAGGGCAGGTCCAGGAGAAGGACAGCAATAACTGCAGCCACACTTGGATTTCTCCCAGAGGATCTTAAAGCACCTTGTAAATAGAGTGGCTATACAGGGTGTCATCCTAACTGGAATGCTTTTGATAGTGAGGAGTATAGGGATAGTATTCATAATTACACTAAGGCAACAGGACTATCTTGGGCATTCTGGGATGTATGGTCACCCTTCTGTCCCCCCAAAGACTATGTCAGGGCACATGTCTTAGGAGCTGTCTAGGCAGAGCTGGAGATAAAAAATGCCAGGTAGACCTTGTCCTGTCTGCTGTTTCTCCAGAACCTCACACCTTTATGCTGCCAACACTTTGGGCTTGGGCTTGGATAGCCCATTTACAGATAAAGAAGATTCAGGGGTGGAGGAAGGACTTTGGTATTGAGTTGAGTCAAAGGTGGTGCTGGGGTTATCCACCAAGCAAACAAGTACAAGCCCAATGTTTAAGTCACAGAAAGGCCACAAAACACCATCAGTACTTGGGACATCACATGTGCCTAAATATCTTTGGGCAGAGATGCTCATTCTGGCTGTCCTCAGTTCTATAACTGTGCCTAGACTGGCTCTGCCCAGCCAGCAGCTCCCACATCTGTGGAGACAATGCAGTCAGAACTCATCACCAAGAGATTCTCTGCTTGGAGTTCTAGAGAAAGGCCTGGTACACAAAGGGCTTGGTTTCTTCTTTGGACTCTCAAAAATGCCTAGACTTTTCAGTACCCTCATGTCCTCTCTGTGCTCTCTACTCCCTGACACTTCTAGGTTGGTACTCAATGACTTCTGGGGAAGAAGTAGGACATGGTACAAGCAGACGGTAGGGTCCCTGCCCTCTAACTTCCAACTTCCTCTGCTGCATTCTCTGGCACCTTCCCCTCTCTCTCCTCCCTCATCAGCGTTCTGATGGCACATTTTCTCTCTCCCTTTCTGCTGCAAAGTCGCACTTTTTCCCATTGACCGCAGGTGAGGGGGACCCAAATGTGAGGCTGAGGAAGGAGTGAGGGAATGTGATTGGCTTAGCTCTGCCCTTCATCCCAGAGAGCTTAGAGATCCAGGATGGGCCACAGATTTCTCACTTGTCCATCCACCCATTCGTTCATTCATCCATCCATTCATTCAGCAGATGTTTACTGAAGTCCTACTTTGTGCTGCTCATGTACTATAGGTTCTGGAAATTCAGGGAAGAATATAACTTGGATCCTCACCTTGAGGAGTCTACAAATGAATGAGTAAACTAATATCAGGGCCCCAAAGTCTTTCAGGGCATGCGAGAAAGGATATAGAGGATAGTAAGTAGACAAAGAATGAAGGCTTAATTCCTTTTCCCTGGGGGAGCGACCAAGGTCAAGAAAGATGATTGAGGGTTGGCCAGGAAGCCAGGAGAAGGGCCAAGATTTTGGAATAGCATTGTTCACCCAGGGAACTGCAAGTTTGTCAGCAGAGTTGACACCAAGGATGAAAGACAAGTTTCCATGAGAGATGGGGTTGGCAGGTAGGCAGAGACCAGAAGAACAAGGCAGACATTGTAAACCATTTGAAGGGGGTAGACTGTCCTCAAGGCACTGGAGTTATTGAAGAATCTTAAACATGAAAATGACATGGTCAGTTTAAAAAGCATTTTAGGAAATGACTATGAATCCCTATGGGGCTAGATGAGAAGGGGGTGAGAGGGGAAACAGGAGCCCATCAGGAGATTATTGCAATAGTCCAAGAAGGATATGGTAGATGGCAGCAGCCCTGGGAATGGAAAGCAGGTGATGGATTTGAGAGTTACTGAAGAGGCAGAATCTGACAGATGTGATGGCCAATGGGGCAGGGTGCAGAGTACAGCAAAAAGCCAGGGAGGAGTCAGAGATGGCTCCTGGTTTCTGGTTTGGGAAACTCACTAAAATAGGTCATTCAGGACCAGCTGCAGGTTGAGGGGCAGGAAGGGACAATGGATTCAGTTTCAATAAATTTGAGATACCTGTGGAACATACAAGTGGGACTGTCCAGTAGGCAGTTAGACACAGAGCAAGAGAGGGGCCAGGGCTGGAGGTAGAGATTTGGGTTCTTCAGTCTAGAGAGAGCTTGAGAAGAGAAGCAGGCTCAGAACCCCAAGAGACATGAACATTTGATGGTAGCTGAGAGTCTCAAAAGAAACTGAGAAGGAATGATCAGAGATGTAGGGAGAACACCCACGATATGGAGGCCACGGGAGAGAGAGTTTTGAGGAAGAGGAGCCATGACACAGGCTGAGCCTTGTTTTTGCACCATGTCAGGGCAGACACCAGAAGTGTCCAAGAAAAGCAGGTGTTAGCAGGTGCCTTGGGTTGAACGTCTCCCCCAAACTTAATCCCCACTGTAACTGTTGAGGGTGGGAAGTCCTATTATGGTAATTGAAAGGTGGGTCCTTGAAGAGGTGATCAGATTGTAGGAACATGCCGTAGTGAATAGATTAATAATGGTGGTCAGGGGCGTGGTTCTGAGGGCTTTAAAAGGTGAGCAGGAAGAGTCTGTCCCTCTCTCTGCTCCCCATTTTGCAATGTGACACCCTGCTGTCACTGAAGTCATCACCAAAGAAAGCCTTCACCAGATGTGTTCCCTGGACTTCGGACTTCCTAGCCTCTGAAACTGTAAGCAATAAATTTCATTTTTTTTATAAGTCACCCAGTTTCAGGTATTTTGTTATAAGCATCATAACTGGACAAACACAGCTGGCTAAGGCATTCAGCACTCCTTACTAGAGGACTAACTAATACCTTTAGTACCAAACAACTTAGTACTCCTTCCCTGCCCCCCACCCCGGAAAAT